AAAAGTCATTGTAAGAACCATTAATAAATCATTAAAAAAAGTCATTATAAGAGTAATGAAATCACTAATAATAAATTAATCACTAATTAATAAATTAATTATAAGGATAATGAAGAGAATATTGAGTAATTATTACCCATTAAAATTAAATAAAAAAATTAACATAAATTTTTAACCCTTTCTTTTGAAATAATTATCGAGAGAGAGAGAATTCTAAGTCTTTTAAAACCTTTTTTTTCACGTTTTTTTTTTGTTTTTTTGTTTTTTTTAAGTTACCAACATCACAACATTTCAATTATTTATATATAATATTTTTATTTTATTTTTTTTTCCCTTCCTAAATATATTAAAAACACATTACAATGTATATATATATAACAGCATCTATGTCCTACCTTCGTCATATATTGGAGAGAGAAGCAAGTCTTTGTATCAAATGGGAAATTATTATGTAAATATTTACTTTTCTATTGATCAAAAAGAAAAAAAGCTCGTAAGAAGAAAGAAAAAATATATATTTGATTTCTCGTAAGAAAAAAAAAGTGAAAAAGGAATTAAATAAAAGGAAACAAACAAACAAACAAACAAAAACCAAAAAAAGATGATAAAAAATTAAAGAAAATGTGAAATGGATGATTAGATATAATTACTTACATTTCAAAATTAATTAAAGTTCTTTAGTTCATCCAATCTTTGTATTAATAATAATAAAAATAATAATAATAATAAATTGAAGAGAAAAAAATAAAGAATTTATGATTGGATATTTTAATCTATTTATCCACATCAGATAAAATTAATTTGAAAGATTAAATACAATCATCTTAAATAAATCTATTCATGTATATAAAAGAAATATTAACTTAAATGGCTTTATTAAATATAATTAAGTAAGAAAATAAATCTATTTAGCTATTAATAGATGAAGTTACGTGCATGAGAACATAAAAATAGCTAAATAGATTTATTCATGAAATAACTGACATATTTAATGAAAAAATTATATATAGTTAGAGAGTAAATAATTATAAAATATGTTCATTATTTTATTATTATTATTATCAGAGAAATTAGTGAAACAGAAGTTGATTAATATCGATTATACGAATAGGATTTAGAGTCAAAATTATATCAGGTTTGCGTAATGTTGAAATGGAGAAAAAAAAACATTAATATTTAATATTTAATTCTTAATTTTGATATATAATTGTTAATATTCAACATTTAATATTAAATTTTTAACTTTAATATTTAATATTTAAGAATCAGTATTTAATATTTAACACAATATTAAATCATTATTATATAACTGTTTAATTTTTCTTTTTTAAATAAAAGATAAAATTAATAAATAAAATTAAATAGAAAAAGTTATGAAGATTATTATTTTTTTCTCTGTTAATAAAGGAAGAGAAAGGATAATGAAGATAAAGAAAGAGAAAGGATAATGATGATAAAGAAAGAGAAAGGATAATGAAGATAAAGAAAGAGAAAGGATAATGATGATAAAGAAAGAGAAAGGATAATGATGATAAAGAAAGAGAAAGGATAATGATGATAAAGAAAGAGAAAGGATAATGATGATAAAGAAAGAGAAAGGATAGTGATGATAAAGAAAGGGAAGAGAAAATGATAATAATAATAATGATGATGATGATGATAATTGCAATATTAATAATATTATTCATGACACTAAGAATGATAATGATAATAATGGTAATAACGAGACGAAGCAATAATAACGATAACAAAAATACGAAGAGGAGAAGGATAAAGATAATGAAGATAAGGAAAAATAATAAAAAGCATAATAACGATGAAAATAATGAAGAAAAGAATAAAAAACAAATGAGAATAAAAATAATAAGGATATCAAAGGGATAATATAGATAATGAAAAGTACGAAGAAAGTGGAAATAATAAAAATAATAAGATTAATAATGAAGGGATCATAATGATAATAACAAAGGGATCATAAGGATAATAAGAAAGGGAGAATAACGATAAAAATGAAAATAACGAAGAGAGCAAAAATAACAAAGAAAATGATAAAGAAAATAACAAAGAAAATAACAGGTAAACACAAAGAATTGTATTCTCCTCCAACTATGCGATAATAACAACACGAGAGAAAAAGTTATTATTCTTACATTAAAAAAAAAGAACAAATTATATTTAGCAAAAATTCTTGATGTTAAGATGTATAAGTTATTTATTTATTATTATTTTTTTTCTTTTTGAAAGTTTAGAAAGAGGGAACAGTAAGACAGAAGGAAAAAATGTACAAAAAACATACATATATATATATAAATTGTCATCCATTTTATGTTAATGGATTTTTATCTTTCTGTTTTATTTTATTTATTTTCAATATTATTATTATTTTTTTTTATATATATGGAGGAGGAGGGAACATTATCCCGTTTTCTTTGAAGCTTCATAGAAAACGTAAGGCTCTTGTTCCCATTTTCTCTTTTCTTTTTTTTTTTAGTTAAGTTTACCCTTTCGAATGATTTATATTCATATTTATTTATATTTATCATTCTCTTTCTTGCAGTTTAATATTATTTTTATCCGAATTATAATCCTGATCTTGCAATAAAGCCTATTTTAATTCAGTTTTTTGATTTTTCACTCTAGGAAAAGAGCGAGAGAGAGAAATTGATGAAGAAGAAAACGGAGAAAGAAAGAAAACGAGAAGATAAGCCTAGAGATAGTAATGATAAAAGATTTTTAAGTCAAGTGATAATAACGATAAAGATTTTTAAGTCATGAATTAACTCACATTTTAAAAGTATATTTAATATTCTGTTTATGTTAAAAGATTAATAACTTTTTAAATGAATTATTCTTATATTTAAAAGAAAAAGAAAAAAAATCATATCATATCATTACTTATAAATATTTCTTTATATTATAATAATTAATTATTATTTTTTTTACTTTGCTACAAGGACATCAAAGTCAAGAGAAATGAGAATAGAGAAAAATAAACGATAATAACAATAATAAATAAATAAATAAATAAATAAATAAATAAAAAATATTTATATATCTCATGTCTCTTGAGTTTGTAATAAACTTTTTTTTTTTTCAAAAAAAGTCAGTCTTTTTGCGAAAGATTTGGTAACAAAAAATAAATATATAAATAAATATAATAAATATATAAATAAATATATAAATAGATATAATAAATATAGATATATTTTTAATAAACGAATTCCTAAATATATTTACTTTTTACAATAATATTCGGGATAAATATGTTTAATTATATATATATTTAATTATATATATATAATTAATCGTTATATTTTTAATTATATATATTTTTATTATATTAATTTAATTTTTTTACAACGTATCTCATTACTTATAATAATAACTAATTAGTAATAGTTTTTGTAAAGAATACTTGTTAATTATATATTTATCCAATTAATAAATATTTAAATATTTCAAATAATTATAATTCAATTCGTTATAAACACATTTAACCGAATTAAAATCGAATTATCGGTTAAAATCGGTTAAAAGTTTTAAATTATCGGTTAAAATCGGTTAAAAGTTTTAAAATTAAAATCGTATTAACCGAATTATAATTGATATTTAATTTAATAATTAAAACCCTATTAAATCGAGTAATTAATTAAAAACGCCTTGATTTCAGCAATTAAGGTATTTAATTCTATATCTAGATACTATAATAAATAGTAAAATAGGTATTCATAATCATAGATATATATAATATAAATTAATTCGATATTTAAATATTTAAATATTCAAATATTATTTAAATATAAATAACATAAATCAATTCGACATTTAAATATTTGAATATTTAAATATAAATAATAATAATTCAGTTTAAATCTAATTAAATATAATGATAATTAAAATATAATCTAGATATAATTCAGAAACGATCTTTCAGCAAAAAAACGGTCCAGTGACTTTTTTTATTTATTTTTTTTATGGGAAAATTTGGTCCTTATGATCCAAAGTAAAAAAAAAAAAGTTGAAGAAAAAAATATTGAAAAAAAAACAGAAACAAAAAAAAAAAAAACGGTCGATTTTTATTTTTTATTATTATTATTTTTTTATCCGAAGTAAAAGAAATGACTTTATTTTTCTTTTAATTATTATTATTATTATTTTTTATAATGAATCATTATTATTATTATTATTATTATTTAGTGTTATTGTTATCTATTAGATTATTATTAATATTATCATTATCATTTTAATTATAGATTATTATTATGCAATTATCATCATCATCATCATCATTATATCTATAATCACTTAAATGATTCAAATTTAATTGATTAAATCAGAATTTAATTTAATTGGATGAAATCTATTTATTTTTTTTTAATTATCATTATTATATTTTTTATTATTTTATCTTCATCTATATCATCCCTGATATGAAATAAAAAGGAGAAAAAATTACGAAAAAAGAAAGAGAGAAAATTAGAATGCAAAAGAGAGATTAGAAAATAGATATTAGTAAATTTAAAATGTATTTCTTAATTTCATTTTATTTTTGAAAATTATTGTTATTATTATCATTATCGAAATTATTTGGAAATATGTTAAAAAATAGAAAATTAGAATCTTTTTTTTGTTGTTGAATTTTCAGGAAGGATTTAAACAAAAAAAATCTAAAAATCTCCCTAAATGATAAAGAAATGATTTTGGAAAAAAAAGATAACAAACAAGATTAATTGATTTAAATACGAAAAGAAAAATAAAACGCAAAGAATAATGATTTAAAACAAATCTTTAAATTTTTTTTTCCACATTTTCCTCTCTCTCTCTCCTTACACAAACACAAGAAAATAAAAGTTATTAATTTTTTCCTTTCCAATATTCTCCTTCCTTTCACAACAAACAAACAACAAACAATGTTTTTTCTCCATAAAATTCCCATTAAATCATCATTTATAGTCGTTTTATTTTTCAAATTTTCAAAATTTCTTTTAATTTTTTATATCATCATTTTTCAAAATTTCAAATATTTCTCTTAGAATTTTTAAAAATCCTCATCCTCATCATCATTTTTCAAAACCTCTTTTATATATATATCTTCTCCAAATTTTCAAAAAACTTTTCAAACATTTTCCCCCCAAATTTTTTTTCTTCAAAATTTTTCAAAATTTTTCAAAATTTTTCAATTTTTTTTTCAAACCAACTAACTCGAGGTCGCAGTGTTACCAGCGGTAGGAGCAGCGGCGCCAGTGTTGCCAAGGGTGCGGGTGACAAAATGCCTTACCCGTAACTTCTGCATTTTAAGAGCTTTCATGCCCATGGATGCAATCTCGCTCAACGGGTGGATGATCGGCTGGACGCCCGTGCCGGCTCTGCAACAGAGAGGGGGGGGGGAAGGGAGGGGAAGGGAGAGAGAGATTAGTTTGTTAGTTGAGGAAATCTGTAATGTTGGATGTTGTTAAAAGTCGTGTTAAGTGTCGATAATTGTCGTTAAAAATCGTTAAATGTCGTTAGAAATCGTTAAATGTCGGTAAAAGTCGTTAAATGTTAAAAGTCGTGTTAAATGTTGATGAATGTCGTTAAAAATTGTTAAATGTCGGTAAAGGTCGTTAAATGTTGTTAAAAGTCGTGTTGAATGTTGATGAATGTCCTTAAAAATCGTTAAATGTCGAAAAATGTCGTTAAAAATCGTTAAATGTTAAAAATCGTTAAATGTTAAAAATCGTTAAATATCTAAAATCGTTAAATACTTAAAATCGTTAAATATTTAAAATGGTTAAATGCTAAAAACAGTTACATGTTAAAACCGTTAAATGTTAAAAACCGTTAAATGTTAAAAATCGTTACAAATTTAAAATTGTTAAACGTTAAAAATGGTTAAAAGCTAAAAATCGTTAAATGTTAAAAACCGTTGAATGTTGAAAACCATTAAATGTCAAAAAATGTTAAATGTTAAAAACCGTTAAATGCTAAAAATCGTTAAATGTTAAAAACCGTTAAATGTTAAAAACTGTCAAATGTAAAAAAAAACAAAAAAACGTTAAATATTAAAAACCGTTAAATGTAAAAATCGTTAAATGTAAAAAAGATCGTTAAATGTCATTAAAAATCGTTAAAAATCGTTAACAATCGTTAAATGTCCTTAAAAATAGTTGCATGTCGTAAAACAAATCCTTAAAAATCGTTAAATGTCGTTATATGTCAAAATAAACTAACCAATCGAAATTAAAAACGTCCTGCTTATATTTTGAGATTTGAAAAAAAAAGAGAGAGAGAATAACAACAGTAAACAAAAAGAAAACGGAACTTACCCACATGTTTTTATAAAGAGGGATAACTGAAGAAAAAAATACATGCATTAATTAATACTAAGAATTAAAACTAAAATAAAATTGAGAAAAAGAAAAAATCATACCAGAGAAAAATTTAAAAAAAGAAAAATGTTAGAAATTTACAAAAGAAATATATAATTAACGAAAGAAAATTACAAACATTTAGTACAATGTTAGCAGTAATAGTATTTAATAGTAGTCGTAGTATTTAATAGCAGTAGTAATAGTAGTCATAATAATATAAATTATAATAGTAATAGTAGTAGTAGTAATATTATTATTAATAGTAGCAATAATAGTAGTAGTAGTGATAGTAGTATTAATAGTAGTAATTATGGTGGTATTAATAGTATTAATTATAGTGGTAGTAATAGTAGCAATAATAGTAATAGTATTAATAGTAGTAGTAATAGTACTAGCAGTTATAGTAGAAGTAGTAATAGTAACAGTATTAGTATTAACATTGGCATTAATAATAGTAATAGTTATAGTAATAGTTATAGAAGTAATAGTCGTAGTTGCAATAGTAATCGTTACAGTGACAGCAGTAGTAATAGTAGTTATACTAGTAGAAGTAGTAATAGTTCTAATAGCAGTAGTAGTAGTATTAGCCATCATTACTATTACTACTAATAAAAATGATAATAATTGATTTTTCTTACGTCCGTAGTTCATTCCTGTTCCCCATACTTTGCCAATAATAATAATAATAATAATGATAATAATAAAAATAACACTAAATGATAATGATAATAATAGTAATAATAACAATGACAATAATGATAATAAAAATAATAAATAATAATGATAATAATAACAATGATAATAATGATAATAATAATAATAATAGTAATGAAGATAACAATAATAAAAATAACAATAATAGATAATAATAATAATAATAACAATAATAAAACTAATAATAACAACAATTTTCTGTAACGTCCGTAGCCCCATACTTCGTAAAATAAAAGAAAATAAATTTGATAATAACAATTTCCTCTTTTACGTCTGCAGCTAATAATAATAATAATAATAATAATAATAATAATAATAATAATAATAATGAGATTACGTCCGTAGCTCAACTTCGCTGCCATTACTGTTACTACAACTACTACTACTACTAATAAAAAGTTGTTAATAATATAAAAAAAGCAAAAAGAAAGAAAGAAAGAAAGACAGAAATATATATATATAAAACAATAATAACAAAATTTCATTTACGTCCGTAGCCCACTCTCTACCCCAGACTTCGTAAAAAAAAGTAGAAAAAAAATAAAAAAAAGTAAAAAAGAAAGAAAGAAAGAAAAAATATATAAAATAGTAACAATATAATAATAATAATAATAGTAAGATAACAAAACTGCTTACGTCCGTAGCCCATCCTACTCCCCCCAACATTCGTAAAAAAAAAGAAAGAAAAACGGAAATAAAACAAAACAGCAATAATAAAAACTAATAATAAAAAGCCATTTTCTCTCACGTCTGCAGCTCGTCCTCTCCACCGTGCTTAGTAAAAAAAAAAAAAGAAAAAAAATCATACGTCCGTAACCCATCCCCCAATACCTCGTAAAAGAGGGAAAAAAAACAAAAAAAGCAAAAAATAACAACAAAATCAACAATAAATACACAACTCGTCTCTCGTGCTTAAAACAAAAACAATTATAATAAAAAAATTTTCTCTTACGCCCGTAACCCCCACACTTCGCCACACTTCTTAAAAAAAGAGAGAAAAAAAAGGGAAAAAATTATAATAACAACAAAACCAACAATAAAAAAGCAATTTTCTCTCACGTCTGCAACTCGTCCTCTCCACCGTGCTTAGTAAAAGAAAAAAAAAAAGAAAAAAAATCATACGTCCGTAACCCACACTCCTCCCCCAACCTTCCTAAAAAAACCCAAA